CCTGTCCCGTCGCCCTGCTCCGTCGCGCCGCCCTGCCCCGTCGCGTCGCCCTGTCCCGTCGCGTCGCCCTGCCCCGTCGCATCGCCCTTTCCCCCGTCGCGTCGCCCTCCCTAGGCCCTGGCCCGTCGCCCTCCCTAGGCCCTGGCCCGTCGCCCTCCCTAGGCCCTGGCCCGTCGCCCTCCCTAGGCCCTGGCCCGTCGCCCTCCCTAGGCCCTGGCCTGTCGCCCTCCCTAGGCTCTGGCCCGTCGCCCTACCCTAGGCCCTGGCCCGTTGCCCTACCCTACGTCTTGGCCCGTCGCCCTAGCCCGCTCTTCCGCTACGACTGAGTCCTCTTCCCCCCCGGTTGTTACTCGCCTGTTCGTTCGCGTTGGTTCTCACTATGGCGACTCCGCGAGTTCTTCGTTTCGACGCCGACGGTAGACCCCTTGACTTTTCCGTCTGGCTCCTTCGCGCTCGTCGTCTGTTAGAGAGTCAGGTCCAGGGGGGCGAGACCCTCTGGTCACACGCTACTGGTGACCTCCCCGAGCCCCCCGAGCCTACAGCTTTAGGCCCTGCTCCTGACGACGCTGCTACGGCTCGCTTTGCCCGTCAGCGCGCTGACCGGACGGCTTGGACGTCGCGTGACGCTGCGGCCTGCATCGCACTCAGCAGCCTCCTCCCTGAGTCCGAGGAGGTCCACTTTACTCAGGTTCGCACCGCTGCTGTGTACCTCACTGCGATTAAGGCCCGCTACTCTACTCCCGCTACTGTCTCTCTCGGCCGTCTTTTCCTCCCGTTCCTGTTTCCTGATCTTGCCTCGTTTGAGCGCTCTGCTGACTTGATCGCTCACCTCCGCTCGCTCGACGCTAGTTACCGCGCTGCTTGCACTGAGGCACAGCTTGCACTGCTTCCTCCCCCCATGGCGATTACTGTCTATTTCATCGCCACTAGCCTCCCTGACCGCCTTGCCTCCGTTTCGTGACGACGCTTCTGCTGAAGCACCCTAGTGAGCTGACTATCGAGGTCCTTGAGTCTGCACTCAAGGACGTCGAGAGCAACCTTCGTTCGGTAGCTGCCGCCTCTGGTACTGTGTCCCCCCCACTCTTCCACGGGTGCACAGTCCCGCAATTACCCACCTTCACTGCCTCTCTTGCCACTGCCGCTACTGACGCGACTGCGGCTGCTGTTACGACTGCTTCGCGGTCCCGCCGGCAGGGGGGGCAAGAAAGAAGGTGGTTCCGGTGGAGGTGGAGGCGGAGGTAGCGGAGGTAGTGGGGGTGCTGTTGCGACTGGCGGTGGTGGGAGTGCAGCGTCTGGAGAGACCCCTCGTGCAGCGGCTGGTTGACTCCACTGCACCTGCTGGTGGCGGCGACCCTCGAGCTCGTCAGTCGCCTCCTGTACTGCCGGCCCCGCTAGGTGGAGCAGCGGCGTACTGGTACCAGGGCTTCAGCGTCAGCAGCACCTTCAGCAGCAGCAGCAGCCCCTTTCCTCCCAGCAGCCCTCAGCAGCAGCAGCGTCAGCAGCTGGCTCCGGGTCGGGGCTGCGTCAGCCCCAGCGCGGTGCTGCTCACCCTCCCTGCCCCTACCAGGTTCAGACAGGTCCTCGTCGGGGCCACCCTTGTGGCCGCTTTCACCCCCCTGGTCAGTGCTTTGCTCAGCTCACTGACACGGTCCGCTTGACCTACGGGGTTGGCGGTCCTGCTCCTGACTGGCTTCCTCTGGTTCAGCGCTACGGCTCCGCTCTGTGGGGCATGTCTGCTGAGCAGTTAGTTGATCTGATTAGTGCTCCTCATGCTATGTATGCTGTTGTTGACTCTAGTGTTTCTGACTCTGTTACTCTGGTGTTGTAAGCTTAGGTGCTAGTCTTGCTCAGTTGCCTGTTGCTATGTAGGTACTTGTGTAGACTCCTAGACCAGCGACTACCTCAGAGGACGCTTCGCTGTCGTTCACACTGGACTCTGGAGCTGGGGTTGGAGCTGGAGTTTCTGGTTCTGGAGTTGGAGCTGACCCGGTGGGTGCAGAGGACTCTTGTCGTCCGGGAGCTGGTTGCTGGCCGCGCGGACACTGGGGTGCTGCGTCTGGGGTGAGGGTGCGCCTCCTTCGGGTTTCAGGTGAGCCTGGTTCTGGAGCTGGTGTTAGGTGCTGCCTCTGGGGGTGGTGCGCCCTAGTTCTTCTGAGGTGGACTCTGGAGCTGCCGCTGCTTCGGACACTACTTCCACCCCCCACCCCTACCCGACTAGGCACCAGGCTCGTGTTCGCCGTGCCCGTGACGAGCAGCTGGCGTTGGAGAGAGAGGAGAGGGAGTTACAGCGGCTGGAGGAGCAGCAGCAGCAGCTGGAGCCGCAGGAGCAGCAGCAGCAGCAGCAGCAGCTGGACCCGCAGGAGCAGCAGTCCCAGCAGCAGCCGCGTCCGCAGCAGCAGCAGTCGCAGCCGCAGCAGCAGCAGCCACTTCCTCCTCCTGTCTCGGGTCTTCGGATCCTTGGTCTCCCCTCCCCTTCTCCTCCCTCCTCCGCCTCTCCTCCTGTCTACGGTCCCACGTTTCCTCCTCCTAACTCCTCCCCCGCTGTTTTCCCCAGTTCTCCGCCCTTGTCCTCTTCTCCTCCGTCTCGTTCTTGGGCTACTCGTCGCTCCCCTCGTGCTCGTCCCTCGTCTCCTGTTCCCTTCACTGACCTTCGTACTGCCTTCCTTCTTTCTAGTCCACCTCGTCCGTCTCAGTCTGTACTTCCGTCTCCTCCTGAGTCGGCCCTCACTGTGTCGCTCCCTACTCCTGTCACTGACTACTACCGCATGTACCGTCCTGTTCTCTCTCGTCTTCTCGCCTCTCTTGTTACTCACCCTCGTGTCTCTGTGTCCTCTGTGTCCGCTCTTACTGTCGCGGTTACTGACTTTGCCTCTACCCGCCGCCTTGACTACGCCACCACGCTTGTGACTGCTCCTCCTACCAGTCCTCTGGTCGTCGGGGGTGTGTCTGCCCTTGGCTGTGACGCCCTAGAGGACAGGCAGTTTGAGCTAGAGTTCCTGGCGGCCGCTTCCCCTCATCTCTGTGCCATGCTCCTCGCCCCTGAGGGTGACCCCGACGCCCTTGACATTCCGACTCCTCGCACTTACGCTGAGGCAGTGTCAGGGCCTTGGGCCTCTCAGTGGAGAGCTGCCATGGACGCAGAGATGGCCTCCTACAGATCCACAGGCACCTACGTCGATGAGGTTCCCCCCCCTGGGGCGAACGTAGTCGACGGCATGTGGATCTACAGGGTGAAGCGGCCACCGGGATCTCCCCCGGTCTTCAAGGCGCGCTACGTGGCTAGAGGTTTCAGTCAGCGCGAGGGAGTTGACTTCTTTCAGACCTTCGCACCTACCCCGAAGATGACCACTCTTCGGGTGTTACTACACGTAGCAGCACAGAGAGACTACGAGTTACACTCTCTTGACTTCTCCACTGCTTTCCTTCAGGGCAGTCTACACGAGGAGGTCTGGTTGCGTCGTCCCTCGGCCTTCACTGGCACTTTCCCTCCTGGGACCCAGTGGAGGCTGAGGCGACCTGTTTACGGTCTTCGCCAGGCCCCTCGTGAGTGGCACGACACTCTGCGTTCTACCCTCTCTGACCTTGGGTTCCAGCCGTCTTCTGCCGACCCGTCGCTGTTCGTTCGTCGTGGCTCCACACCGTTCTTTGTTCTGGTCTACGTCGACGACCTCGTTTTCGCCACTTCGGACAGGGTTGCTTTGGCAGACGTGAAGTCCGAACTGCAGAAGAGACACACGTGCACTGATCTTGGTGAGCTGCGCCACTACCTTGGCCTGCAGATCACCAGGGACAGAGCCGCTCGCACCATTACACTCTCATAGTCACACATGGTGCAGCAGGTCCTTCAGCGGTTCGGGCTTCAGCACTCCACCGTACAGCGCACACCTCTAGCTGTTGACCACAAACTCACTGGTCCCTTTCCTGACGAGCCGTTTGAGCCTAGTGGTCCCTACGCAGAGCTTGTGGGTTGCCTCATGTACCTGATGGCTTGTACTCGCCCGGACCTCGCCTTCCCTCTCAGCATCCTTGCGCGCTTTGTTGCGCCAGGGAGACACCGTCCTGTTCACTGGACGGCAGCTGTGAGGGTGGCGAAGTACCTAGCGACTACATCAGGCGTGGGGCTAGTTCTTGGAGGGCAGCAGTCTGTCGTACTCACTGGTCACTGTGACTCCTCTTACGCTGACGACGCTGAGACTCACAGGTCTACTCAGGGGTACTGTTTCAGTCTGGGTTCTGGAGCTGTTTCCTGGCGTTCCACGCGCTCCTCTTCTGTCTCGACCTCTACAGCTGAGGCTGAGATTTACGCTGGTGCCATGGCGGCACAGGAGTTGCGGTGGTTGACCTTCTTGCTCGCCGACCTTGGTGAGCGGCCGAGCTCTGCACCGACCTTGTTTAATGACAACAAGGCGTCGATCCTCCTCTGTCGTGAGCCGCGACTGGAGAGCAGAGTGAAGCACATTCACGCCAGGTACTTTCTTCTGCGAGAGTTTGCAGAGGCGTGGACAGGCTCGCTTCGAGTTTGTAGAGTCCGAGGCCAACACTGCAGACATCTTCACCAAGGCGCTTCCGCCTTGTGACCACCAGAGGTGTTGTGTGCAGTTAGGCCTTGTTGACACAGGTTCTAGTCATGCGTAGACTTGAGTTTATTGCCTGCTTCGTCTGTACACTTACTATATATACTTGTGATCTCTTGGACTGGCCTTGTGGCCACTGTTGCTTGTGCTCAGAGTGTGTGGTGACGTTGTGATCCACCCTGAGCTTTGTTTTCTTTTGGACTGGTCTTGTGACCGTACTCTTTTTTTGTTTTTGCTAGACACCCCTCACTTAGGCTATGGGGGTGTGTCAAATGTTGTAGCCTGTAGTGAGGTTTGTCTTAGGGGGTACAGAAGTTAGGGTTTGTTATATGTACCCCAACCAACATCAATGGAACATCCATTCCTCATTCTGACACTACTGTACTATTGTTTCAATATCAATCGTCACAGCTTCACATTTTCTAGTCACTCCTCTCCATCCTCCTCCCCATCCTCCTTCCCATCCCAGACGTGAGCCAAATCTTCCACAGGAAGAGCATTCACCACCTTGTATGTCTCCCTAGAGTGCCTCTCGTGCACCTTCTCCCGATACTCCTCCCCGTGCTTCTTCTTCTCATTGATACGGATCTGCAAGGGCAACAGCGGAGACGGCCCACTGAATGTGATGGATGTGTGTGTGTCGCTAAACATAAGCGGATCGAGTATGATCAACATGCAAACAATAATGTTCCTGTTGCGTCATCCAGATTTATACACACCTTATTTGGTGAAATGTAACTTGGATTCTCATAAAGAGTGGGCCCACCGAATGTGCCAGAGAACACACGAATGGGATTTAAACAGAAGCGAGGCCCCACCTGCACGGCACAGCAGAAGAGTCAGGTTTGGGAAACGAGGTGAAGGAGAAAACGGAGGCAGCGAATACACAGACAGTGAAATCTTCACTAGCAACAAACAAAGTGCACTCTGTCCCGAGACATCAGCAACAGTAACAGAGCGTCTACTGTTGACCCTCGTGATTGTAGGTATGCCTCCTCACCACAGGCATGACTCTGAAACGCCTACCCTCGCACAGCACAGCAGCACACCAGCACCACATGACACCTCACTGCACCCCACCGCAGCACACCAGCATCCTTGTGACTCATTTGTTATGCCCACCTCCACAAGTGACATCGTCTCCATGGTGATGTCTTCGATTCCGGCCGCCCCCTCTGCTCCTCTATGGGTTTGACTCCACACCACACTGCACCACACCAGTCTCTGTAGCACCCACCTCCACTAGTGACTTCTTCTCCATGGTGATGTCATCAATTCTGGATGCCCCCTCTGCCACATGAATGCAAATCCAAGACGCTCATAACACACCCGCACCACACCTCACCATACCAGACTGCACCACACCGCACTGCACCACACACGACCACACCACAGGCATGTCTTTACTATGCCCACCTCCACTAGCGACATCTTCTCCATGGTGATGCCATCAATTCCGGCCGCCCCCTCGGCTCCAGAAATGCATAATTGAAACTCTCACCACAGTGTGCAGCGCCTACCTACACACCACACCAAACCGTACCGCACCACACTATGTGTGTGCAGCACCCACCTCCACCAGCGACATCTTCTCCATCGTGATGTCATCGATTCTCGCTGCCCCCTCTGCTCCAGGAATGCATATCTGACAGGACAGAATGAATAGGACAGGAATGCTGTCAGCAACTGTGTTAGTGTTAAGACGGACCAATCACCAACGTTGGCGTATAGAGCAGATGCAGCTAGGTAGGTGAATGAGAGCACATGCCGCAATCGGTTAGAGCAGCCTCACTTGGTAGTTTCTGAACCAGATGCGGCCATCCAGGTAGGTGAATGTGAGCACATGATCGTAGAATGGCTTCGCCTTGCGGTGCCCCTTGGGGGTTGCAAACGTCTGCATGCGCTCACAGAGGGGGGGGGGGGGGAGGGGGATGGGTTAGTGGGTGGGCAGCAAGGCGAACGACCCTGATGCAAAAACAGACTTCTATACTTGAAGGGAAGAAGTGACAGAGTAGAGCGAGACTGCAATGGGTAAGGGCACGGCACGTGAGTGTGCATCCGTGAGTGCATGAGAAAGAAGGCCGTGAGGGCGTGCCTGGATTAAGAGCTCCTTGAGAACAGAGAGGAAGGGTAGGCGGTCAAACGAGGGGTTGAAGGTGAGTGCAGTGGGAGGGGGAGCGTCAGTGGGAGGGGGAGCGTCAGTGGGAGGGGGAGCATCAGTGGGAGGGGGAGCGTCAGTGGGAGGGGGAGCGTCAGTGGGAGGGGGAGCGTACGTGCGTGTCTAGATGAGGTGGAACAAGATGAAGGGGAGGAGGGGGGGGGGGGGGGATTGTGTGAGCGTGCCTGGATAAAGAGCTCCTTGAGAACGGAGAGGAAGGGCAGGCGGTCGAACGAGGGCGAGAAGGTGAGGAAGGGACGCGAGCCCTTGAGGTGGTTGCCCGTTAGCTTGAGCTCCTCCATTGTGTGCACTGGGGGGTTGGTGGGGGGGGATGTGGTGTGATAGGGGGAGTAAGGAAGGAGGGGGAGTGGGCGAGTTGAGTGGGCGGACAAGGACGGACGGCCCTTGAGGTGGTTGCCTGTGAGCATGAGCTCCTCCGTTGTGTGCACTGGGGGGGTAGAGGCGGGGGGTGTGGAGGGATGGCGCGGAGGGTGGGGGGAGGTGGAAGAGGGGAGAAGCATGGGAGAGGAGTGGGTGAACAAGGAAAGCCCTTGAGGTGGTTGCCTGGCAGCTTCAGCTCTTTCATTGTGTGCGCTGCTAAGGAAAATGTGTGGACGTGGGGTTAAGGGGGTGGAAAGGGATTTGACAGGGGTAGGCGCACATTTGGAGGTTGGAGCTTGTACCAAAACTTGGTCGCTTTGAGACGTGTCACATGGCGTGCGTGCAGAAACGTTACTCAAGCATGCACATTCGAACAACACACCCACGGGTACGACGAGCGAGCATACCTGCACTGACGAGAAACTTCACGGAAGGACCCGAGGGCCCCTTGCTTAGCCACAGGTATAGGTCTCTCTGCTTGCGCATCTGGCAGTGAGAGGGAAACAGAGATGGAAGGAGAGAGATGGAAGGAGAGAGATGGAAGGAGAGAGATGGAAGGAGAGAGATGGAAGGAGAGAGATGGCTGGCACCACCAGTGTATGGGCGGCAGGGGCATGAACACAGATGGCTGGCAGTGGCACAGACAGAGCTGCAGGTCTTGCGCTTGTGCGTATAAGGCACGGGGCAGGGACTGAGTGACAGGGGCGGTCAAACGAGTCCACTCAGGGCATGCAGTGAGGAAGCCAAAGTGTGAGGGGCAAGGTGTGGCGGGGCGGATGGAGAGGGGGGGAAAGGGGAGGGAGAGGGGAGGGGAAGGGGAGGGAAAGGGCGGGGCACGGAACAAGATGGGATGGCCTGGGGGGAGCGGGTGGGTGGGGTGAGGGGAGCTGAGGGCGGCACCGTACCTCGAAGAAGAGGCAAAGCGAGCAGCCCCGTAAGTCCATGAGCTCAGAGAGGAGTGGAGTAAGGTGGGGTGGGGAGGGGTGAAGTGAGCAAGGCAGCAAAGCACCTCACCTCGAAGAAGAGGCACAGGGAGCAGCCCCGTAAGTCCATGAGCTCAGAAAGAGCCTCGTTGAGCTGACGGCCGCGAGCCACGTCCACCTTGGGCTCCTTCTTGCTGTGCGGCAACAGCGCCGTGATGTCCTCCATTAGATGGCGGTACCTGGGAGAAGAAAGCAGGCAGGAAAACGATAAAGAGTGAGAGAGGGGCACATGACCATTCCATGCGTGGGAAGGCACCACTAGCAGTGCTAAGTCCACCTTTGGCTCCTTCTTGCTGTGCGGTAAGACCGCTGTGATGTCCTCCATTAGATGGCGGTACCTGGGAGAGGCAGGCGGATAAGCGTAAGCGGTGGGATAAGCCAAGCCTCGACCAAAGGTAGAAACCCCTGAACCCCGCAGAACCCTAGTGCAACCCTGCCCCCGTCAGTGGCCCAACCCTGACCCGACACAACGACCGACCTGTACACAATGCCTCGCGACGACAGCACCAGAACCTTCTCCTTCTTAAACCCCACCACTGCCTTCCCCTGCAGTGCCCCCGCTAACGCGCCCGCCGCTTTTCCCTGCAACTCGCTCTTCGGGATAAGCCCCACGTGGACGACTCTCGTGCTCTGATTGGCTTTCGTCGCTTCTTCCGCGGCTGTCTTCGCTGCGATTTTCTTCTGCTTCTTCTTCGCGATCATCTCCTGTTTTTTCGTTAAAAGCGGCTTCGATTTCGCGCTAATGCGCGATTGGCCTTTCGCGGCTGGCGCCGCGGCGGTAACCGTCGCTTTTTGTATTTTCACGGAGGACTTCGCCACGCCTAGCGGGTTCCGGGTCGCTGGCTTCACCCTCTTCTCCGGCGCAGGTTTCGACCTCGCCATTTGAGATATATGTCTGGAAAGACGAAGGAAGAGGAAAAGAACGGACGAGCACGCGAGGAGTAGAAAGCGAGGAAGCGGGAAACCAATTACTTGGATCGCAATGCGGCGATTATTGAGTGAGAGACGATGCGTTGACCTCTAATTTTCGTGACTGGTTTTGCTGCGCTGAACCTTGGTGGTTGAGGGGAAGAACAATATTTTGGGAAGGTCGAAAAACACTGAGCTTTTGGTGCTACACTTTTTGGTTCAGCTCACGCGAGTTCCATGCTGTTCGCTGCTTGTATCGGGAATAAGAGCATCTGGGTATGGAAAGAAGCCGGCGGGAGCGTCAGCTTTACGTTCCCCAGCCAGCATTGCAGGTTCGGGCCTGAACCAGCCTGTGACCTAGATTTCATCGTCACCCATACGAGGATGATGATTCATAAAGTTCAGGCGGGATTTGGCGGGAAAGCCCACCCTTGAAATTCAGGGTGCAGCTTTCATGCTTCTTGCACACGTTCAAGGTTCCATGGCTGCTCCATTTTATAATAAATTTCGGAGCTTCGTCTTTCTTCAGTGGGTTGATTTATTTCCGTCTTATCATTCCTCACACTACGACGCTAAGCTGCTTGTTTCAAGGTTTTCCTAGTGTCCGTAAAAACAGATATATTTGCAAATCTTTCAAAGTACTCTGTTCAGTGTTGCGCGGTATACTCTTGCAGAAATTAGTCAACTTATGTCGTCTTAGATCACCGATCGTCACCCTAGGTGGTAACGATGGTTGCTGCTACGCGAAGCCGTCGCAAGCCTTCGCACAAAATTGATACGCTAGAGGTCAACGCGAATGGCTCGCTAGAGCCTCACGCTAATACAACGCGACAGCACACTCCGTCACCGGACGTGTCGTTTCTCGTTAACGGGGACGACAGCAAACCTAGTCTGAACAAGGGTCCCAAGCCTACTTCGAGCCTGCCTCCTGAGTGTAGTCCGAGCCTGACTGCGAGGTCTGGTCCACGTCTTAGTAGTGGCGAGGCGAGTTGTGGTCAGTCCCTTGGGATTGCCGATAACTCTATCTCTAGGGTAAGAAACAGCAGGAGTGGGAGGGCGAAGGCTGTCGAAGAGGGCGAAATGGGCGGCGTACTGGCGAAGGTTTTCGCTGGTGTGACGGAAGGTCTGAGCGTCGAACGGATAAGAGGGAATCACGACGCGCAGGAGCCGGGGGAAAATGCTCGCGGGGAAATGGCTGGCGGAAGGGTGGAGGCGGAAGACAGCGGGGGGAAGGTGGAGGGGAGTGGGGGAGAGATGGCGGTGGCGGAGGAGTGGGGGGAGCTGTGGAAGGGGTGTGGCGGAGGGGAGGGCGGGGAAGTGGGGGGCGAGACAGAGGAGATGGACTGGGCGGGGGATGGATGGCTGGCGGATACTCAGATCGTGGGGGAGGACGAGGAGACGCAGGTGTATGGTTATGGTGGGAGTTGGAGCCCTAGTAAATGTGGGAATGAAAAGGAAAAGGAAAAGGAATTTGATTTGAGTTTGGTTGTTGCTAGGGGGGGACCAGAGAAGGTGACAGGGAAAGGGTTAGCGAGGGGTGGAGGACAGGCGGAGGGCGAGCTGGGGGAAAGATTAGAGCAGGGGCGAGGGGAGGAGAGGCAAGAGGGAGAGAGGCGAGAGGGAGAGAGGCGAGAAGCGGAGAGGGGAGATGAGGAGAGACGAGAAGCAGGAAAGAAGCAAGAGGAGGGGGAACGGAAAGAGGAAACGGAAGTGGAAGGGGTAGAGCAGAGGGGAGGAGAGGAGGAGACAGATAAGGGGGTGAACCGAGAAAAGGGTGGGAAGCAAGGAGAGGAGGGGCAGGAAGAGGAGGAAGAATCACCTGTGAGCTTCAAAGGCAGAGGTAGGGGAGGAGGGAAGGGAAGAGGGCGAGGGAGAGGCGGAAGGAGGGGCGGGGGACGCGGAAGTGGCAAGGGGAGGAGTTTAGAAAGGGTTGTGCTCGGGACGGGGAAGGCGGTTGTGGAGGGCGGGGAGGAGGAAGCAGCAGCAGGTGCACTCGCAGCAGCAGACTTGCCGGCACCGGCCGCAGCAGCAGTAGACACGGCAGCAGCAGCAGCAGCAGCAGCAGCAGCAGCAGCAGCCGCAGCAGCCGCAGCAGCAGGAACGGCAGAGAAATCACTACCAGCATCAGCAGGAAAAGCGGCAGCAGGAACAGCAGACACATCACCAGCAGCAGCAGCAGCAGCATCAGGAAAAACAGCAGCAGGAACAACAAGCACATCACCCGAAGCAGCAGCAGCTTTGTGTGGGGACTCGGTGGATCCAGGCGAGGACACGCAGGTGGACGCCCTCGGTATAGTCACGCGCCTGCTGGGCTCCGACAGCCAGCACAGCAGCGACGTGCTTCTACCGGGCGGTGCACTGGGCGGGCTGCTGCTGGGGGGAATGGGCGGAGGCATGGGGGGAGCGGCTGGGGGCGAGAAGGGGGGTAACAGCAAGGGCAGTGGGGCAGGAGGTACGAGCAAAGGAAGGGAGGTACCCAGCTGGGCTAACTGGCTCAAGCCGGTGGGGAAGGCAGGAGGAGGGACGGTGGCTGACGGGCACGTGGGTGTTTCCGGTGTGCAGCAGCCGTTGAAGGCTGTTCTGAGGGAGGATGGGGTGGACCCGTACGCGCTTCCTTACAGTGAGGACCCGGACGAGGGGGGGTGTTGGGGCAAGGGCGGAGTGGGTGAGGCGGAGAGGGGGGCGGAAGGAGGGAAGGCTAGTGGAGGGCGGAAGGGAGGGGATAAGGGAGATGGGGTGGAGGAAGAGGAGTTGGAAGAGGAGGAAGAAGCTCGAAAAGTGAAGGGGAAGAGGACGCGTGGAAGTGCAAGAGGTAAGGGAAGAGGAGGAGGAAGAGGGAGAGGAGGGAGAGGAGAGGGGAAGACAAAGGGGAGGGGCAAAGGGGCGAAAGGGGCAGGTAGCGAAGAGGGTATAGAAGAAGAGAAAGGGGAGGAAGAGGAGGCGGAGGGGATGGGGCAGAAGGGCAGAGGGGGGAAGAATGGCAGGTCAGGGACGGGCGGGCGTGGGGCAGGTGCAGCAGGGCAAGGGGGGAAGCGAGGGAGAGGCGCAGGGAAGGGTGCAAGTGCAAGTCCGAGCCACGGGCTGGATAGAGAGTATTTCTTGAAGCTGAGTCAGCTGCAGGAGGAGGAGGAAGAGGAGGAGGAGAGGAGGGGGAGAGAAGACGGTTGTCAAAGTCTTGGAGAGCAGGAGAGGGCGTTGGAGGAGAGGAGAAGGAGAAAGGGGTGCCGCAGATAGAGGAGAGGGATGAGAGCGAGGAGAGAGCTGGGATGGAAGAGAAAGCAGTGGGAGCGCAAGAGGGCGAAGTTCCTCCTGAAGGTGAGGAGACAGGGCTGCAACATCCGAGGTTGGGGGAGTCTGCTCCCTTGGAAAGCCAGGAAGGAGGACCGCTGAACCCAAGCCTGGGCGAAGCAGCTGGTGTGGAGAATGCGGGTCTGAGCGAGCCAGTTCCTGTGGGAGCAGCAGGCGGGCAGGTGCAGGGATCAGAAAACGCGGACGGTATGCCCTTTGATTCCCAGGCGGTTTGGATGGACTCGCAAGCGGTGGAGATGGGTGCGGGGGGGAGCCTGGGCGTGCAGGTGAGCCTGGGGGAGGTGTTAACTGCGGATCTGGAGATGTCCCAGCGGTGGACGGAGGGGGGAGGGGGCGGAGGAGGGAGTGAGGAGGGGGGTGAGAGGGTGGAGGAGAAGGAGGGAGGGGATGAAAGGAAGGTTGATGGGGATGAGGGCAAAGGTGGAAAGGAGGGCAAGGATGGTGGGGAGGGGAAAGAGGATGGTGAAGAGAGGGGCAAGGGTAGAGAGGCGAGGGGCAACGTGAGTGGGAAGTCGGATGCAGGTTTGGCTTCAGTGGAAAGCGGGGAAGGTGATGGAGTGAATAAGGACGGGGAAGAGGAAGGAGGGAGGGGAAATAGTGAGAGGGAGGTGAAGAGAAGGCGAGTGGGGAGTGGTTTGAGCACTGAAGGAGTGGAAGGAGGGGGAAGAGGGAGGAAAAGTCCAGAGGTAGAGGGAGCAGGGGAGGCAACAGAGGCGGGGGGAGAAGCAGAGGCCGGGGGAGCAGCAGAGGCCGGGGGAGCAGCAGAGGCCGGGGGAGCAGCAGAGGCCGGGGGAGCAGCAGAGGCCGGGGGAGCAGCAGAGGCCGGGGGAGCAGCAGAGGCCGGGGGAGCAGCAGAGGTTGGGGGAGCAGCAGAGGCCAGGGGAGAAGCAGAGGCCGGGGGAGCAGCAGAGGCCGGGGGAGCAGCAGAGGCCGGGGGAGCAGCGGGGACAAAGGCGTCAGCAGAGGCAGGAAAGGAAACTGAGGAAGGGGGAACAGTAGGAGCAAGCGCGAGAGCAGCGGGGGCAGCCAGGACTGAAGCAGCTGCAGTGGGTGGTATGGCTGGTGATATTGCTTGTGCGTTCTCCCCCGTGGGTGAAGACACACAGATTGCCCTTGACGCTCTTGACCTCATTCTCGTGCAGGAGGAGGGGATGGGGGAGGAGGAGAAGGGGGAGGGGGAGGGGAAGGTTGAGGAAGCAGAGGAGGGCGGGAGAGGGAAGAGGAGAGCAGCTGGGAGAGGCAAGGGAAGAGGAAAGGGGAGAGGGCAAGGGAGAGGCGTGGGGAGAGGGAATGGAAGAGGGAAGGGAGGAAGAAGAGGGGTAGTGCGGGAGGAAAGCAAGAGTGAAGCAGGTGAGTTGAGTGCTGTGGCATCAGTGGCAGAGGTGGAAGGTGCACCAACGGCAGCAGGAGCAGCAGAAGCAGCAGTAGGAGAGGCAGCAGTAGTAGAAGCAGCTGAGAAGCAAAGGGGAACAACAGAGCTAGGAGAAAGTGGGGAGCTGACCTCAACACACGAGGCAGCCAAGCCAGCAGCAGTCTCAATGCCACCATCGCCAGCAGCACCAGCAGAACAAGCAGCATCAGCACACGCCGCACCAGCACAACAAGCACCATCAGCACACGCAGCACAAGCAGCACCAGCAGAACAAGCAGCATCAGCACACGCAGCACAAGCAGCACCAGCAGAACAAGCAGCAGCACCAGTACCAGCAGCTCCAGTTACCGAAACAGCAACAGAACCAGCAGAACCAGCAGCACCAAGAGCACCCTCAGCACAAGCAACACCAGCAACAACGGTTGAAACAGCAGGTGGGGCACAATCAGGACCGGCAGCGAATTTAGCCGCATCAGCTGCAGGAGCAGCAGCCGCAGCAGCAGCTGTGGAGAGGCGGGTGGTGGGGCGGATGACAGACGTGGGGCGAGGAGCAGGGCTGGTGGGACTGGAAAGAGCAGTGGAGGAGGAAGGGGAGCAGGGAGGGGGAGGTGCAACAGTGGAAGAAGGGAAAAAGGGTGGAAAGGAGGTGGATGGGGAAGGGGAGCAGAGCAGGGCGACTGGGTTGGAATCAGGCGGGGGAAGAATGGTCCAAGGCGTGGTGGAAGCAGATGAAAGGCGGGAGATCACGGGAGTTGGAGATACTGCTGGTGGTGCTGCTGCTGCCACTGCTCCTGCGGTTCCTGCTTCTTCAGGTGCCACCACCACGTCTCCCACTGCGCCTGCTGCAGCGGCTGCTGATCTACCTCCCACTATTGATGCTGTCGGTACTACTGCTCCCCCAGAAATAGACCCCTCTCCTGCTCCTGCTGTTCCCCCAAAGGACGCCCCTTCTGCTGCTGCTTCTGCTCCAGCAACAGGCGTAGACGCCCCTTCGGCTGCTGCTGTTCCAGCACCAGGCGTCTCTACAGCTGCCGCAACAGCAACAGTCGCCACTGCTTCTGCCACCAGGACCAGGGGAGGCAGGCGAGCAGCAGGCAGCAGTCGAATGACCCAAGGGTTGGTGGCCTGCCAGGTGAAGCGAGCGGTTAAGAGGGGGGATGGTGGTCTGAACGACGGGGCCGTAGCAGAGGGGAATGGCGGGGAGAGAGGAGAGGGAGGGTGCAAGAAGGGAGATCGCGGAAGGGGGGAGGAGGAGGATGGAGAAGGGGAGGGGGCGGTGGGGAACCGGGGGAAGAAAGTAAAGGGGAAGCCAGAGGGGAAGGAAGGGAGGAAGCACGAGGGGAAGGAGGGGAGGAAATTAAAGGTGGAGAAGGGAGGGAAGAAACAAGTGCGGAAAGAGGGGAAGAAGCAAGAGGGGAAGGAAGTGAAGAATCAAGAGGGGCAGGTGGCAGTTGCTGGTGGTGATAGTGTGAGTGGGAGGAAGAGGAGAAAGACGTCTCTCGGGCTGCATGATGGCTTCTATGAGCTTTTGGAGTCGAGTGAGAGTGAGAAAGGGAGTGATAAAGGGACTGAGAAAGGGAGTGAGGAAGAGAGTAAGAAAGGGAGTGAGGAAGGGAGTGAGAAGGGGGGTGATTCTGCGAGTGATGTGGGGAGTGATGAGAGTGAGGAGGAAGATGAGGCAAAGGCGAGGAAAAGGCAGAAAGGCTCGACTGCTGGAGGCAAGCAGATGAGGAAGAAAGGCGAGAAGGCGAGGGATAGGGAGGTGGAGCAGAGGGGGTCAGAGAGGGTACAGGGAGGTAGAGAGAGGCAGCAGAGGGGAAAGGCAAAGGCGGAACGCAAGGCACGCGCGGAGAGCAAGGCACGGGCAAGTGCGCAGAGATTGGAGGAGCTGAGTGGGGCAAAGGCACGGACGGGGAGTAAGAGTGAAGGGAGTGAGGAGGAGGAGGGGCAGGCAGAGCTGAAAGAGAGTAAGCGGAAGGGGAGAGTGGAGCAGGGGAAGGGAGTGGTGGAAAGTGAAGGAACCGGGGGGGATGATGCGTCCAGGGTAGGGAGGAGCACGAGGGGCAGGCGCCAGGGAGGCCAGAGAGTGTTGGCAACAGAAGGGGATGGGGTGGAGCAGAAGAAAGCGAGTGGTTGTAAAGAAGAAATTGGAGGAGAAAGGGAAGGAGAGCAGAGAGATAGAGAGGGGCAGGAATGGGTCGAGGAAGTCGGATTTCCAGGGAGGGCGAGAAGAAGACGGAGCAGCAGCGGTGCAGCAGGGTCTCATCGCACCGGGTTGCATGGTTTGTCTCCAGTGCGGGTACTGTTCAGCCGATCCCTGGACGGCGACATGATCGCTGAGCTGACGAAAGTAGTGGAGAGGCTGGGAGGAGACGTTGTGTCTGATACCTCCCCTGCCACCATCACCACTGCCTCTGCGCTCTCCTCCTCCTCCTCATCCTCCTCTCCTGTGGTTGCTTCTGCTGCCCCTGCTGCTTCCATCTGCACTCATTTTGTCTCGGCGCCGCAAATCACCCGCTCGATTAATCTCCTCGTTGCTATCTCCAGGGGCTGCCATGTGTGCACTGCTGATTGGCTGCATGCGTGTGCGAAGGCACGGGGGTTTGTGGATGCGGGGGAGTATGGAGTGAGGGACAGGCGGAAGGAGAGGGAGATGGGGTTCAAGCTGGGGGAGGCGGTGGGGAGGGCGAGGGAGAGAGGGGTGCTGGAGGGGCAGAGGGTGTTTGTTACGCCCAACACCACGCCCGATGCTCACTCCCTTGCTGCTGTTGCAGCTGCAGCTGGTGCTGAGGTGAGCGATGACCGGTTCTTATCCCCATGCTTGTGTTCTGGTGAGCTCATAATATTTGGCTTCCGGTGCTGGTGCTGAGGTGACTCTTGATTTGCCACGGCCTCCGGTCTCTAGAGCTTGGCTGGTGCTCCAGTCTCTGCTCTCTCCTGTCTCTAGAGCTTGGCTGGTGCTCCAGTCTCTGCTCTCTCCTGCCTTCTCAGACGTGCTCGCCTCCTCGCCTGCTGCTCTCCCCTCTCTTCACATCTCCAGGTGATGCCATCTTTGTCTGCCAGCAGTGCTCCCACGGTGATCGTCTCATGTCAAGCTGACAAACCTATGTGGGAAGTCCAAGCGTTGAAAGGTTGGTGGCTTTGTTGATTCTGGTGGGTGATTCATATGCTGAATCATCAGATGTTGAGTAATCAGATGCCATATCATCTCAAGCTGCCTCTTCTATTCAAGTCAGCGTGCTCCGTGCGAACCCCAACCATCCACACAACATGCCCTTCTGCTGAATGCAACAGCATGCTCCCGTGCTCGAACATGCGTGTTCTTCGGCGCATTGAACCTATTCTCCCGCCTGTTCTTTCCACATTTCGTCATGTCACCCCTTCCCACACCCACCGTCAGGCGTGCCTGTATTTTTACCAGAGTTTCTTCTGACTGCAGCAATGCGCCAACAGCTAGACTGGGGCAGGTCAGTGTGTGGTCAGATTAGAACTGGAGTGGGGGCAGGTCAGCACTGATGGCTCCTCTGTCAGCACATTCACTCGCATGCATGTCTTGGCAACATATCCTTCCTCCTTCGAATTTTGATCAAAATGCTCGGAAGTGCATGTGCCTTTGTTTGGAATAATTGGTCTTGCCCGCTTGTATGTTCTCCTTCCTATCCCTTTGTGAATGGGTTCACAGGAGCCATCGTCTGTAACATCCTGCTCAACTAATAACGGAAGAGTCCGTACCGTATACTCTGTACTACATTGTAAAGTATGTTTATTCAATCACCTAATGTCAGAATATGAATAAAGAATGACATTGATGTCAAATCACCCCTTCGGTGGCGGGAATGAAATGCACTTCACTCAGTTTTCATAAAATGCACTCCACTCTATTTTATACATATTTTATTCACACTCATGATGCACTCCATTTTATACATATTTTTTACTCGAAAATACATATTTTATAACAATGAATCCTTTGAGGGTCTGTGAATCTCCTCGTCATGTGTACTAACGGGACAGTAGTTCCTACACATCATCCCCTGCACGCGAGATTGCCTCGCAACTGATGGAAACCTTGCACCCGTGGGTTTTGTGCCGTGAGGCTGCACCCACGTTACAGGCACGTCAGCCAATACGAACCACAGAAACTGAAGTCTGACTGAAGAGAATGCAGTCAAAAAGTCAACGGTGAGTTACAAATCTTTTTATAAGCCCTTTTTGCCCGAAACGAATTGACGAAACCTCCGCGAAATGCAGTAATCGTTTATACGCCCAGAGGGTAAGGCAAGGTCGGGGGGCTCAACCGGGCATCGTGTGTACCTTCGACGGTGGTATCTTGACTCTTGACTTGACATCTAGCCGACAAGGCACAGCCTCGCGGGTGCGCACCGCGTGGAGAAGGAAATCTTGCCAAGTGTGGCAGCAGTGGACCAGTTTCGCTATCGTCGTCCTCTGAAACTTGTTTTGGTGCTCCTTGTGCAATTTCTCTCTAGTCATCAAAGCGCCGAGCTTTTCTGGTGGTGATGTGCTGGCATTCTTGACGGATAGAGAGCAGTTTTTTTAGGGCAATGGAGGGGAACTTACGATGGACTTCTGTGAAACAACCTGCAGTCCCATTCCTACCCATCTGCAGTGGCATTGACTACCACGTCGTTCGTATGCAATGCGTGACAGTGAAGGAATGTGATGGACTGTAAAGGTCTTCCCTCTCACATGTGTCCTGCCCTGCTCTCGATCTGTGCGTAGCCTAGTACCCAGTCACACCAGCCCGTGGTGTGCGCGTTCGTGGCGTTTCACACGCGCATTTCTGTTTTCACATTTTGTCATTCAGATTACAGTCGATCGATGGCTTTCGCCAGGTCTGAGTTCGTAGATCTGGTGACGGATGACAACTTCCAGCATCGCGTTCTGCGTGCTCCGCAATTAATCGTGGTGGGCTTCTTGAGTACCGATTCCCAGTCCGAAGCGCTTGGTCAGAGTATTAACAGCATCGCGAGGAGACACCAACATAGGAGCGAAGCTGTCAAATTCTATGTGGTGGACGCCTATGAGTATCCCGACTTGGGCCAGAAGTACGGTGCACATACTACACCTTCGATTATTTTCTTCAAGAATGGCACTGCTGTCCATACCTTTGCCGGGGTTGCACCCCCCGAGCATCTCATCCAAGTGTGGGTTGACGAGCACTTGTGAGCTCGCATAAGATGCTTCTTGTCGTTGGGTTTCTGACAAATGCCTTCTGTGAGATGTATCTCTCAAGTATAGTGCGATTCCATTGAAGCTGTGATGTGATTGTACATTTACCAGAAATACCCAATAGGATTGCCACGTGTACCCGATGGGAAGCATGGTCTGGAGAGATGCTCTAAATGCTTTCGCACGTGCAGAACGAAGAAAGATCCCGATGGCAGAAAGCGAAACAAGGGGAGCACGAAACAACAAGCAAGCGAAACCCTAGACCTTTGCCTGGGGACGGGGGGGAATAGGGCACAACTGAATTGCCTCCTCTGCTTGCCCATCATTTGCATGCATGCAGTCAGACTGGACTCTCTGCATGTCCCCTTTCCCCTGAAACTTTTCTCCAAATACCGTATGCCTCCTTGAGTGTGCATCTCAAGCGCATTTGCTTGTCTAAACGTCAAGTTCTTTTGCTAGTTGCTTCATTTTTATGCTTCCTATCGTTCTTGTGAATGCTTTTCCAGAAACCATTGTCTGTAAAAATCACCTTCTCAACAAATGGGGAGGAACCTGTATTATACTTATACTGTGGATTCTGCTTGTTTCTATAATTGCTTTCTAGGTATAAAATTGATAACCGGCGTCTGTTTGTCGAAGGCCCCTCTCTTTGTTAAAAATGGGAGGTACCTAATTGGTCTATGAACCTTGTCTGTTCGATCCTGTTTAATCCATCTTGTGCTTAGGACTGTCAAGAGTGGGCCCATAACCCACTCTTCCACGGGTGCACAGTCCCGCAGTTACCCACCTTCACTGCCTCTCTCGCCACTGCCGCTACTGACGCGACTGCGGCTGCTGTTACGACTGCGTCGCGGTCCCGCGTTAAGGGGGGCAAGAAAGGTAGTTCTGGTGGAGGTGGAGGTGGAGGTAGCGGAGGTAGTGGGGGTGCTGTTGCGACTGGCGGTGGTGGGAGTGCAGCGTCTGGAGAGACCCCTCGTGCAGCGGCTGGTGACTCCACTGCGCCTGCTGGTGGCGGCGACCCCCGAGCTCGTCAGTCGCCTCCTGTACTGCCGACCCCGCTAGGTGGAGCAGCGGCGTGGTACCAGGCTCAGCGTCAGCAGCAGCCCCTTTCCTCCCGCCAGCCTCAGCAGCAGCAGCGTCAGCAGCTGGCTCCGGGGTCAGGGCTGCGTCAGCCCCAGCGCGGTGCTTCTTACCCTCCCTGCACCTATCAGGTTCTGACAGGTCCTCGTCGGGGCCACCCTTGTGGCCGCTTTCACCCCCCTGGTCAGTGCTTTGCTCAGCTCACTGACACGGTCCGGTTGGCCTACGGGGTTGGCGGTCCTGCTCTTGACTGGCTTCCTCTGGTTCAGCGCTACGGCTCCGCTCTGTGGGGCATGTCTGCTGAGCAGTTAGTTGATCTGATTGGTGCTCCTCATGCTATGTTTGCTGTTGTTGACTCTAGTGTTTCTGACTCTGTTTACTCTGGTTTTGTTAGCTTAGGTGCTAGTCTTGCTCAGTTGTCTGTTGCTAGTGTAGGTTCTTCTGTAGACTCTAGACCAGCGACTACCTCAGAGGACGCTTCGCTGTCGTTCACGCTGGACTCTGGAGCCTCACACTGCTTCTTCCGGGACAGCACGACACTTACACCACTTCCTGCGCCTGTTTCTGTGGCTTTGGCTGATCCCACTACGGGACCAGTCACTGCACGTCACACTACCACTTAACCGTGTCCTGCTGCTCCCTCCGGGTCTCTCACTGGGTTTCACGTCCCCTCGTTCTCCCGGAACTTGGTGGGCGTGCGACCCCTCGTGAGTCAGCACGTGGGTGTGTGGTTTGAGCCTTCTGGAGAGACTGTGGTGTGTGTTGACGGAGAATCTTACCAGCCTCTTGCTACCTTTACTGCTGAGCCGGGCTCAGGTCTCTACACTCTTCACACTGGCCCGCGTGCGCCGCAGCAGCAGCCGCAGCAGCAGCAGCAGCCGCAGCCGCAGCAGCAGCAGCAGCAGCAGCAGCTGCACCGGCGGTCGCACCAGCAGCCGCCCCTACTGCCACTGCCCCCGGTTCCCCCCTGTCAGAACATTATAGCTCATACATGTTTGTAGGCTATAGTGGGGTAGCACATATGGGGTACAGATTCCTAGGGTTTGCTATTTGTACCAATTTGTGACTTAGTCATTCCATTCCTCTTCTCATTGTTTCACATGGTATAGAGCTAGGTCCCTCCAGGACCGATTTTTTTGGGCCCACCGAAGCGCGCCCCGAGGCGCGGTTTTTTTTTAGCGACCCCTCGAGTCGCCCTCTCCCCTACGGCCTCGCCGCCCACTCTGTCGCGGCCCCGCCCTGCTCCTTACGCGGCCCCGCGCCGGCCCCTTACGCGGCCCTTACGCGGCCCCGCGCCGGCTCCTAAGCAGCCCCGCGCCGGCTCCTACGCGGCCCCGTCCCCGGCTCCTACTCGGCCCCGCACCGGCCCTTACGCGGCCCCGCCACCGGCTCCATTGCGGCCCCGCCACCGGCTCCATTGCGGCCCCGCCCCGGCTCCTACGCGGCCCTGTCCGCCGGCCCCTTACGCGGCCCCGCGTCGGCCCCTTACGCGGCCCCGCCGCCGGCCCCCCTTACGCGGCCCCGCGCCGGCCTCCTACGCGGCCCTGCCCCGGCTCCTACGCGGCCCCGCCGCCGGCTCCTACTCGGCCCCGCGCCGGCTCTCACGCGGCCCCGTCCCGGCTCCTTCACGGCCCTGTCCGCCGGCTCCTTACGCGGCCCTGCCGCCGGCCTCTGCTCGGCCCTGCGCCGACCCCTACGCGGCCCTGCCGCCGGCTCCAACGCGGCCCTGCCCCGGCTCCTACGCCGGCCCTACCGCCGGCCCTGCCGCCGGCTCCAACGCGGCCCTGCCCCGGCTCCTACGCGGCCCTACCGCCGGCCCCTTCGCGGCCCCGCCCCGGTTCTCTCACGCGACCCCGCCGCCTCACCTGCAGCAGTCGGGCGGCCGGGCAGCCGAGCCGCCCAGTCGCCGAGCCGCCCGGGAGCCGAGTCGCCCTGCACCCGAGCCGTCCGTCGCCGAGCCGCCCGGGAGCCGAGCCGCCCTGCACCCGAGCCGCCCTGCCGCCGAGCCGCCCGGGAGCTGAGCAGCTGTACACCCGAGCCGCCCGGTCGCCGCTCTGCTTTTCTGTCGAGCTGCACGGCCTGCCCTGCCTGGTGAGCACAGTCCCTCTGTCACTGCGCCCTCTTTCCCTACTGCTTGCACTGCTTCGCTGTCGTCATCATGGCCACCCCTAGTGTCCTAACCTTTGACGCCGAGGGTCGCACCATTGATTTTGAGGTCTGGCTAGATGACCTGCAGCTTTTCTTACAGTGCGACAGAGCTGACAGCCTTTCTCTCTTTGACCTCACCTCTGGCGCCTCTCCTGCTCCTGCTGCCGATGCTGATCCCACTGTCCGCTCTCAGTGGGCCACCCGCGATGCTGCTGCACGTCTTGCTGTGCGTCGCCACCTCCCTACCTCTGAGCGTGCGCATTTTAGTCAGTACAAGAGTGCTCAGACCTTGTACGACGCTGTAGTGCGCGCTACTCCTCTCCTGCCACTGCTGCACTGAGCCGTCTCATGCTTCCCTACCTCTTTCCTGACCTCTCTGCCTTTCCCACTGTCGCTGACCTCATTACGCACCTCCGCACTAGTGACACTCGCTACCGCGCCGCCCTTCCTGCTGAGTTCTGCGCTAAGAACCCCCCCCCCATGTACATCACTCTCTACTACGTAGTCGCGCGCCTCCCTGACTCCCTCCGCGTAGTCAGGGACCACTTTCTCGCGGTCTCTCCCACCACTCTCACCGTCGACCTCCTCGAGAAGGCCCTCCTCGCAGCGGAGAAGAGCATAGTCGCTGTAGGTGCCTCTCGTGGTGACCCTCGCACCCCCATCTTTGAGGGGTGCTCTCCTTCCCCCTTGCTGCCCTCTGTTGCCTCTGCTGCTGCGGCCGACCTGCTTGGTCTTGAGTCGGTCGGCGCGGCGTCTGCCCCTAGTGGGAGACGTCGCTCTGGCAAGGGCAAGGGGGGCAAGGGCGTGGGCGGAGCTGGAGGGGGCGGTGGCGGTGGCGGCGGGGGCGGCGGAGGGAGTGGGGGTACTGGTCCCTGCGCCTACGTTCTTCGTTCCGGCGACCGCGCGGGTGAGCAGTGTGGGGGTGCCCACTCCACCCAGCGCTGCTTTGGCCGCCTGACGGACGCTTGGCGTCAGCAGTTCCCCGGGGCTAGTGAGATCCCTCGCTGGGATGAGCTCCTTAGGGCTGGTGTAACGATCTTTGATCTTGATTTTGATGCTATCCTTTCTGCTATGTATGCTGTGACTTATAGTGAGGAGAATGAGGGTTACCGGTGTTTCCAGCCCGACCCGGGCATTGGTACTGCTGCACTAGGTACTTGTGAGGCTGCTGCTCTAGGTGCCAGTGCGTCTGCGCTCTCAGGTACTAGTGAGACTGCGCTCTCAGGTGCTGGTGAGACTGCGCTCTCAGGTACTGCGTCGCCCTCGTCCTCCCTCACTTTCACACTTGACTCTGGGGCTTCTCGCTCCTTCTTTCGAGACCGCACTACCCTCACGCCGCTTGGCCAACCGGTTGCGGTCTCCCTTGCTGACCCCTCTGGGGGTCCTGTCCTGTCTCACTTCTCCACTGTCCTCCCGTGTCCGGCTGCCCCTTCGGGCACCCTGTCTGGTCTGTACCTTCCCTCGTTCTCTACGAACTTGGTGAGTGGTGCGGACCTACAGGATGCAGGGGTTCACCAGTTCACTCCTGCGAGGCGGCGGGTGACCCACTGCACGGACGCAGACACAGGCCGACACCTGGCCACCTTTTCGCGTCGGCCGGGGTCGAGTCTCTACACCCTGACCACTTCGTCTCCTCCTGTCCCTGTGTCTGGTCGGGTAGCTACGTCAGGTCAGGTGTTTGCTGCTGCGTCCCGGTCAGGTCCTGAGTCTGCCCCCTGTTCCTGTCGCCTCCTGTCTCACGAGACTCTCCTGTGGCACCACCGTCTAGGCCACCCCTCCTTGGCTCGTCTTCGGAGCATGGCTTCCCGTGTCCTTGTCTCTGGTCTTCCCCGGTCTCTCCCTCCTCCCCCCCCCGGGCCAGGGCCTTCCTGTGTCCCCTGTGTCGAGGGTCGCCTCCGGGCTACTCCTCACTCCTCCCACTTCCCCCCGACAGAGGCTCCGCTGCAGACGCTTCACATGGATGTGTGGGGCCCGGCCCCCGTCCGTGGGCAGGGTTACGAGCGCTACTTCCTGTTGGTGGTTGACGACTACTCGCGTTACACCACAGTCCTCCCCTTGCGCAGCAAGGGTGCTGTCACTGAGGTGCTGATCGACTGGATCCGCGAGGCTCGTCTCCAGCTCAGGAAGAGCTTCGGCTCTGACTTTCCTGTTCTGCGTCTGCACTCGGACAGAGGCGGAGAGTTCTCCTCTCGCCTTCTGCGAGACTACTGTCGTGCACAGGGGATCCGCCAGACCTTCACGCTTCCGGACTCACCACAGCAAAATGGGATTGCTGAGCGCCGCATTGGCATGGTCATGGATGTCGCTCGTACGTCCATGATGCATGCGGCTGCCCCCCATTTTCTGTGGCCGTTTGCGGTGAGGTACGCGGCGCATCAGCTCAACCTTCACCGGCGGGTCTCTAGGCCTGCGATGTCCCCAGCCTTGCTGTGGACGGGGAAGGTTGGCGATGCGTCTGTGTTTCGTGTCTGGGGATCTCGGGCGTTTGTCCGCGACTTGTCTGCGGACAAGCTGTCCCCTCGTGCTGCTCCCTGTGTCTTCCTTGGCTTCCCCACTGACGCCCCAGGGTGGCAGTTCTACCACCCCTCCTCTCGTCGTGTTCTGTCCTCCCAGGACGTCACGTTCGACGAGTCGGTCCCCTTCTACCGTCTCTTCCCCTACCGCACTCCTTCCCTCCCCCCTCCCCCGGACTTCCTTGTGCCGGTTCCCTCCCCGGTAGACCCCCTCCCCCCTCAGGTTCCTGCCCCCTCAGGTGTGTCCCAGGTAGACGCCGTTGACCCGGTCGAGGTTACTGGTGACTCTGGTGCTGCTGCGGGTGCTGAGCCTGGGGGTGCTGACTCTGGGGGTACTGTGCGCGGGGGTGCTGAGCCTGGGGGTGCTACTGCTGGGGGTGCTGGGCCTGAGGGTGCTACTGCGGTGGGTGCGGAGCCTGGGGGTGCTGAGCCGGGGGGTGCTGTGCCTGGAGGTGCTGGGTCTGGGGGTGCTGGGTCGGGAGCTGCTGAGCCTGGGGGTGCTGAGCTGGGAGCTGCTGAGCCTGGGGGTGCTGCGTCTGGAGCTGCTGAGCCTGGGGTTTCTCCTGCTGCTGCGTCTAGCCGGGAGCCCCTCTCTCCACAGGAGCTGCGCGAGTGGTTCGCTCGCCGCTGGAGGCGTGCTGCTGAGTCTGGAGGTGCTGTTGGAGCTGGGGCTGGAGCTTCTTCGACCGTCGAGGGTGCGGATGCTGCCGGTCCCGGAGCTGCTGGACCTGCGGGTCCTCCTGGAGCTGGAGCTGCTGAGGGCGTTCGTGCTGCGCCTGCTGCTGTTGGTCCTGCCGCTGGAGGTGTGGGTGGCGCTGGTGCTGTCGCTGAGGGTGCTGGTGCTGTCCCTGCTGAGTCTGGAGCTGCCGCGCGGCCTCGGCCGTACTTCGTTCCGCTCCTGCAGCAGGTTCTTGGTCTTTCTCCTCCAGTAGAGGGTCCACCGCCTGTCCAGTCGCAGTCCCTGCTGGAGCCTTCCTCTCCACTGCCTGCTCCCTCTCCTTACACTGGTCCTACTGGAGGTCTTGCTGAGCGTCGTGAGCCTGCGTCTCGTCCCGCGTCGCCTGTTCGTGCTGCTCGCGCTAGTGGTCGCAGTTCGCGTCAGCGTCCTCCTCCTGTCCCTGGCACGCACTGGATGTCTCTGCGTCCGTCCACTGCTCCTCTGCGTGCCCCTTTCCCTTCTCCTCCTGAGTCCTCTCTTCCTGCGCTTGCCGACCCTGAGTCGGACTCTCTTCGCGCTGCGAGTCCTACTGTCACGCGTCTGCTTGCTACTGTCGTCACTGACCCCTCTTTTGAGTCCACTGCTGCGTCTGCTCTAGTCGCTGAGCTCGTTGACTTTGCTGCTCGCTGTCGTCTCGACTACGCTGCTAGTCTTGTTGCTGAGTCTGCGTCTGTCTGTCCTCCGTCCGTCGGGGGTGAGTGTGCTCTTGGCACGGACGTCCTAGAGGACAGGCAGGAGGAGTTACAGTGTCTAGCGGCTGCTTCACCTCATCTCGCGTCTGTACTGCTTGCCCCTGAGGGAGACCCGGATGCACTAGACATCCCGACTCCGCGTTCTTACGCGGAGGCTGTAGAGGGTCCCTACTCCTCTGAGTGGCAGGCAGCTATGGATGCAGAGATGGCTTCCTGGAAGTCCACAGGCACCTACGTTGACGCAGTTCCCCCTCCTGGGGCGAACATCGTCAGTGGCATGTGGATCTTCAGGGTGAAGCGGCCGCCGGGCTCTCCGCTTGTCTTCAAGGCGCGTTACGTCGCTCGTGGCTTCAGTCAGCGGCAGGGAGTTGACTACTTTCAGACCTTCTCTTCCACTCCGAAGATGACCACTCTTCGGGTGCTGCTGCACGTTGCCGCTCAGCGCGACTACGAGCTTCACTCTCTCGACTTCAGCACTGCGTTCCTGCAGGGTAGCCTGCACGAGGAGATCTGGCTGCGCCGTCCGCCTGGCTTCACTGGGACTTTCCCTCCTGGCACCCAGTGGAGCCTCCGACGGCCAGTCTACGGTCTCCGCCAGGCACCGCGTGGGTGGCACGACACACTGAGGACTACGCTTGCGGCTGTTGGGTTTGCTCCTTCCACTGCTGACCCGTCGCTGTTTCTTCGCACCGACACTTCCTTGCCGCCGTTCTACATCCTCGTGTACGTCGACGACTTGGTCTTTGCCACAGCGGACACTGCTGGACTCGCCTACGTGAAGTCCGAGCTGCTGAAGAGACACACGTGCACAGACCTGGGTGAACTGCGCAGCTACCTTGGCTTGCAGATCACTCGGGACAGAGCACGCCGCACCATTACCCTGACTCAGTCACACATGGTGCAGCAGGTCCTTCAGCGCTTCGGCTTCACGTACTCCTCGCCTCAGGCCACTCCTCTGCCTACTCGCCACTCGCTCTCAGCTCTGCCTTTGGAGGAGTTCGTAGAGTCGAGTGGCCCGTATGCAGAGCTTGTTGGCTGCCTCATGTACCTGATGACCTGCACACGACCTGACCTTGCATACCCTCTGAGCATCCTTGCACGCTATGTTGCTCCTGGGAGACACCGACCTGAGCACATGGCTGCAGCGAAGAGGGTATTGCGCTACCTGTGCAGTACGTCGGGCATGGGGCTAGTGCTTGGAGGGCGGAGTCCAGTGGTCCTTACGGGCCACGCGGACGCTTCTTGGGCTGACGACCAGGCTACGCAGCGGTCGTCACAGGGTTACACCTTCAGCCTTGGTTCCGGCTCTGTCTCGTGGCGGTCTACTCGCTCGTCTTCGGTTCTCGGCTCCAGTTGTGAGGCTGAGATCTACGCCGGGGCCATGGCTGCACAGGAGCTTCGCTGGCTCACCTACCTGCTGACTGACCTTGGAGAGCCGCCTCGTTCTCCTCCAGTGCTGTACGTAGACAACAAGGCCATGCTGGCCTTGTGTCGAGAGCAGCGTCTGGAGCACAGAACGAAGCACATTGCTCTCCGCTACTTCCTTGCTCGTGAGCTGCAGCAGCGTGGTCAGCTGCGACTTGCGTACGTGGCCTCTGAGGCCAACACTGCTGATGTGTTCACCAAGGCACTCGCGCCTTGTGACCATCAGCGCTTCTGTACCCAGCTGGGTCTTGTGCCTGTCTTGCCTCACTTGCTCTCTTCCTGACTTCACTTGTACTGTGACATATATATATACCTGCTCTTACTTGTCTAGTATTATATATATGTCTGTACTCCTGCATGTGAACTGGCCTCTGGCCCTGCTCTTGTGCTCGGACTGTGTGGTGACTTTGTGATCCACCCTGAGCTTGCTTTGCTTTGCTTGACTGGTCTTGTGACCCCTTGTTCTCCCCACTTTGCCTATGGGGGTGTGTCAGAACATTATAGCTCATACATGTTTGTAGGCTATAGTGGGGTAGCACATATGGGGTACAGATTCCTAGGGTTTGCTATTTGTACCAATTTGTGACTTAGTCATTCCATTCCTCTTCTCATTGTTTCACACCCCCCCCGTTCGGGTCCCCGCGTCTCACCAGGTTGCTTCGTCCCCCCAGGTCTCTGTGTCGTGTCAGGTTCCTACGTCTGCTCCAGTCGCTGCGTCGTGCTCCTGCCGGTCGCTTGCCCACCCCACCGTTCTGTGGCACCACCGGATGGGGCACCCGTCCCTTCCTCGTCTGCGCGCTATGTCTAGTCAGCGTCTTGTCCTAGGCCTCCCACGTGTCTTGCCGTCGCTGCCGCCTTCGCTTGCGCCGCCGTGTGGTCCCTGCGTCGAGGGTCGGCTGCGCGCCGCCCCTCACTCCTCCTCCCTTCGTCCAGCCACCGAGCCTTTTGAGACGCTTCACTTGGACGTCTGGGGCCCCGCCCCTCGTCTAGGCCCTGAGCGTGAGCGCTACTTTCTGGTGGTCGTTGACGACTTCTCCCGCTACACCACAGTGTTCCCTCTGGCGAAGAAGTCTGAGGTGACTTCTACGCTGATCAGGTGGTTGCTCACCACCGAGGACACTCGTGGTTGTCGTGTCAGCTGCCTCCACTCCGACCGTGGGGGTGAGTTTCGCTCCGGCATTCTCGCTGGATTCTGTCGCGAGCAGGGCATTCGTTAGTCCTGGACGCTTCCAGAGTCCCCACAGCAGAATGGGGTTGCTGAGCGCCGCATAGGCCTGGTCATGGAGATCGCCCGCACCTCCCTGACTCACGCCTGTGCCCCCCATTTTCTGTGGCCCTACGCGGTCAGGTACGCCGCGCACCAGCTGAACCTCTTGCCACGTGTCTCTCGACCAGAGGTTTCACCGACCAGTCTTTGGACAGGGTCCCCTGGTGTTGCGTCGCGGTTTCGTGTCTGGGGGTGCTTGGCTCTTGTCCGCGACACCTCCGCGGACAAGCTCTCGCCTCGTGCCGTCCCCTGTGTCTTCCTTGGTTTCCCTGAGGACTCCTCTGACTTCACCTTTTACCACCCTCCCTCTCACCGGTTCTTTGACTCCCGTGACGTCCGTTTCGAGGAGTCCACTCCGTACTACGTCAGGTACCCCAGTCGAGGTCTCCAGGTTCCTCCTCCCCCCCTCTTCCTGACTGCCGCTCCCCCTCCTGTTCCCCCGGTACAGCCTCCCCCCCCTAGTCCAGCCCCGTCGGGTGTGTCCCAGGCTACCCCTCCTCCTTCGGTAGCCTCTCCGGTACAGCCTCCCTCCCCACAGTCCTCCTCGCAGCGTGCCGCAGGTGCTAGCTCTCGAGAGGTTGGTGCTGCGCCTCTTCCTGTACCGGTTTCTGGTTCTGGGGGTGGTGGAGTTGGAGCTGGAGTTGGAGCTGGAGTTGGAGCTGGAGTTGGCACTGGAGTTTCTGGTTCTGGGGGTGCTGGGGTTGGAGCTGGAGTTGGAGCTGGAGTTTCTGGTTCTGGAGTTGGAGCTGACCCGGTGGGTGCAGAGGACTCTTGTCGTCCGGGAGCTGGTGCTGGTCGCGCGGACACTGGGGGTGAGAGTGCGCCTCCTTCGGGTTCTGGCGAGCCTGGGTCTGGAGCTGGTGTTAGTGCTGCCTCTGGGGGTGGTGCGCCTGGTTCTTCGGGGGTGGACTCTGGAGCTACCGCTGCTTCGGACACTACTCCGCCCCCCCACCCCTACCCGACTAGGCACCAGGCTCGTGTTCGCCGTGCCCGTGACGAGCAGCTGGCGTTGGAGAGAGAGGAGAGGGAGTTACAGCGGCTGGAGGAGCAGCAGCAGCAGCTGGAGCCGCAGGAGCAGCAGCAGCAGCAGCAGCAGCTAGACCCGCAGGAGCAGCAGTCCCAGCAGCAGCCGCTTCCGCAGCAGCAGCAGTC